ATTCGCTTCCAGAAAGTGTAGTCAGTGGACCTACGGTTAAGGGTTTCGAGCGTCACTTAGACTCTCTTGGGTGGCAACACGAAACCTTTCCCTTCTGACCATATCCATCTTCAAACTTTTAGTTCTTATTCTGTCATTCTCTTCACTCTTTGGTGTTATCCTTCATTTTAATGACTTTCATTCCCCTTTATCTTCCATTTACTATCTACTTCTTTTTTACTTCACGTAACCTACACAGCGGAGACTGCTAGTGCAAGGAACGTGGGCAGTAATTGGTTGACCAGGGTGTGTTTCGGGTGTTTCGTTTTAGATCTATCAAGACCTAGCGCCTTATCATTTCCTGGCTCAACGATTTGCTCAAGAAGGAACACTCAAGGGATTTTCCTATCGTTCCAGTCCATCTGAATCTGAATCATCTGAATCTGAATCGGTACGGTCAGGATCTCATCCACCCTCTAAACTGTTCCAAACGTTTAGAAGGACGTCGATATTGTCAATGGTTGGCACATGCTTTCTGCCAAACACATCCGGAGACGCAGGTCTTCAGGTACTCCTACTGGGCCTAAAGTGAATGAAGAAGGCGGCGCTGTACTTCCTTAGCCTCCACCGGTTTTATGTAGCCCATCTGGGCGGCTGACAGCAAACGGAGTTACACTTAATATACCATCGGTAAACTGCACCAAAGTTCCAGAGTTAATGACAAATTTCTTAAAAGGAAAACAACTTGATGATGTGAACCAGTGGAACTCCATTATATATGTTTTAGTTAATCCCGACAACTAGACACGGATCACGCGTCACCCAAACTCACAGCACGACGGTGAACGGAGGATGCTCCCTGTCTTATTAATATCCCCTGGTGAAGCAGAAGCTCCCCTGTTCTCAACAGCGCGCTTACGGAATGTGTTATTTTCCATCCGTACCTTCCCGGATATTGCGTGGAGCAAGCGCAAAAACGCGAAGCAAGACTGGGAGGAACACTGAAAGGAATCCGTAGCTAATACTCTACTTGTACACCATGTTCCCGAGGATGGATGTCATGCTGAGCGCGAAGCGGTCGCCCGAGAAAAAAGACAGTGGCAATACATTCGAGAGACCCTGTCCCTGGAACATTCCATGACATAATCAATCTCTAGGTTATGCAGATCTTCAGAGTACAAAAGAAATGGCCTAAGAATTGTGAAGGTGGTACTTCCATCCCGACAACTGTTAACTATGGTGTCTGAGAGCTGGTGTGCAGACCGTAGTAGCCTTCCTTCCGTGCTCCGGATCAAACCAGTGTCCCCTATGCAAACATACGGTAGCCGCCACTTAGTCGGACTACCTCCAAATCAGATTTTGGGTAAATTCACTGTTATCCAACGAAACTGGCACACACACCCTATACACTACCTATAAAGAGTGAAGCATAAAAGCAAAAGTGGGATCCCTGGATCTGACACAGGTGAGTTCGTCATCACAACACACCAACCATTCACCGGTCTACGAAACAACACGCCCAAAACACACACCCAACGACTCATTGTTAGGAACCGAGAAACTTTCCTGCATGTACGCCAATGCACAAAGTCTCCTGAGCAAGCTTGTCTAACTGAGGCTGCGTCAAACTTCACACTCTGGGCCCTCATATTCGTAACTCTAACTTTGTTGCATGCAGTAATTATGGACGCCGAAGCTGGGGTACATGGCATATCCCTTATTCGAAACCACCATCCTTTAAGGGCGGTGGGATAATCTATGCTGCCGTAATGACCTGCAGTGAGAACCGGTGGACGATCATGTAACACTACTGAATGACTCGTTCTGGTGCAGTCTGCGACTAAAGTGCAAGGACCCTTAATTATTGGCATTTGTTTATTTCCCCACAATTCTTACCCCAGAGATGGACTCATGCCTGACATTAGTGTTGGGGAAAGTACTTCGACGACGACACAGCCAGGTTCTCATCTCCGACGACTTGGAACTTCCGGCTTCTGCTAACGAACAATTCAAGGCCGACCTGAAAGAGTTTATTGCAAACATACTGTTGTTTAGCCACGTCAGTTCGCCCACCATATTCAGAACGGGAAATAAGCCATCTGTGCTTGATTCTGTGCTCACAAAAGAAGAGCTCATGATCGAGAAACCAAACATGGAGATCCTTCTAGGGAGGAGTGCTTACGTAACAATACATAACGACTAGGCGTGTTGTGCAGAATATCCACAAGTACATAGTGAATTGTCTCGAACGATCACACAATACGGCTCACAGAACTTGTTGGGGAGGCCTTTTGGAATTTTTCGGACAACTTCTCCATTAATACTGCATGGACGAAGTTTGCTAGAAAGTTCTGCAAGCTGATTAAATACTCATTGGGAAACAGGTCCATTCATTCTACAAGGAGCAGTACCCGAATGCGCATAGCTTTATGAGCCGCGTCGTGGCATGTATTTAGGGTGAACCCTAAGCCGGACAACTGGAGCTACCATGTAGCGCATCGTAATCCCTGTGCCACACTTGTACGTCAGGAAAAATTTTACACCAGCAGGGCCTGGGAGCAAGGGTTTGTGCTAACAAATCTCTGTACATATATTTGAATAGCATCCACAATATGAGGCGTGGTGTTTCCCCACTTATCTCAGGAAATAGATGCGCTCAAACTGCCGAGGATGCAGCCGATGATCTACGGCTGTACTATGCTTTAATATTTCGAAGCGTTATCCGCAAATGTCACAACCACGTCCCATTCCATCACTCCCCAATATTCACACACGTCAAGTTTAGTTCAACGACCTCTTCGAGGAAACTGATATCGTTGCGCACCCATCGTTCCTCCGGTGCTGACAACATTGCCTTTAAAGCCCTTCAGGTGTTAGCTACGAGGAAAGCTGAGCCATGAGCTTAATTTTCCCAAAGCTGTTTGGATAAACATCAGGTCCCCAATATTTGGAAACAGGGTATCATCACTCCAAGTTTCAAGGATAGTATCCACTCGGAACCCGTCAATTACCGCCAAGTGATTTTCTTCTTGGCGATCTCAAAGATGATGCAGTCGATCACAGCTGAGGCTCTAATGGGCTACTTTCAAATAAATCTAACATAATAGCACAGGAACAATAAGGATTTCGTCAGTATCGGTCATGTAATACCAACCTTCAAATTGCACATGGCTGTTGGACAGAACTAGAAGACAGTGGGACAGGCACTGCTGTCAGCTACCACGACTTTTTAAAGCCTTCGAGCCCTTCGATCACCAACTCCTTGTTTAAAAGTTGCATATGTACGGAACTGAAGACCAGGTGCTTGGACAGATTAGAAAGTTCCTCCTTTAGTTGGGTTACAGGTTCGGGTTAGGGGTTCCTTTTCTTATCCTATCGACGCGGAGTGCGGTCCCTCACAAGGATCCATGTTAAGGCAGCACCTATTCCTAAGCTTTATGAACAACCTCTAGCTTGTTAACGAGCCGCATTTCCTGCTTTTCGCCGCTGACAGCAAGACATGGCAGGCGATCCGTGGTCAGGACGACCAGCACGTGCTACAAGGAGATTTAGGCGGTGCCTTTGATTCGTCAAAGGCAAATCTACTTCCGTTTAATGCGGACAAGTAGTAAAGTACACATTACGCCACAAGCCCACTTGCGCATATAACCTTGGAGACCACACGCTGAAAAACGCCTCACAGGAATGCGATCTCGGTGTGGTGATGTATGACGACTTCGGCTGCTCGAGACATTCTTCGAAGGCGTCTAAAACTGCTAACCATCACGTTGGTCTTACACGGAGGGCGTTCGAACGGTTCGAATTCACCATCTTCCCCAAATGCTCAATGCATATGTGAAGTCCCATGTGAAGTGCACGATACAGGCCTGAAAATCCTGGTTAAAACAAGAGCTGGTTGCACTGGATACTGCACAGTGAAGAGCAAGCAAATTTGTGCTCCAGCTGCCAAAGTATCTGCGACTGAAAAAGTTTGGATTGTGGAACGGAAGTTATTAACGTCTACGGGACCACCGAATTCTGGTCTACCAGATCTTGAAAACTCTCATTACACCTGCCGTCACCTCCTAAAACATAACCGCGACACGAAATTAATGCGTCACCAGCTGAAACTGGCGAGGAAATACAGTCATCTTGAAGGCCGCCGAAACTATTTTGCACATGGAATTTGTCACCCCTAGAAGGCTCATTCGACTTTGGTTATTACTGGGTCCACGGTGCCCTATTTTTACTAATGGCTCGGTGATGCATTACAACACCTGCATTATCTGTTTTTATTCCTGTTCACAGTGACGACAGGACGCAAACAAACATTGTGCTCTTCAGTCCTTACGAAATCGGTGCAAACGTTTACATTTGTGCGTTAACGAACATAATTTGACTTAGTGGATTTATAATTTACACTGCGAATATCACGGTGAGTCTGCTGGTGCGACTCTAAATTTGCTGACAATTTTTTCAATATTTTGTATTTCCACCATCATCATCCTGCGGGACCTGTGAACCACCAAATTTTTTACCCGTATAAAATCACTGTTCCATTGTTCAAAACACTGCAATATCAAAAGCCGCCTAACATCATAAGGCTGTGAGCAATGCGTAATTTTTCAGAAGCGATATATAAGGGCAGCCCTATTTATTTGGATCCAAATACACAAGTTAAAATGCGGTGTCATGGAATATAGCAGCTTATCAAGAGCTTATGCGGCCCTTGTTTGCGGTCTCAGACTTCACTAATGAACAGGTAGCTGTTCACATAGCTACTAACGCGAAACGCGCTACGGTTTGAACAATGTGAGTTGCATCCGTACGGCCAACTAGTGTTCACTAATGAAACAGACCATTCCTAATTGAAACATCAGGCCCTACGTAGCTCCCAGTATAGGACTGCTAGGTTAAGAAGCAACACCGACGGGATGAATGGGTAGCGCAACTGCCGGATTCCTCGCTACGCCGGAGGTTCAGTGGGGAAAAGTCCCACTTTTTGTTCGGTTAGTCGTCTATCAAAGTCTAACAAACATGACAGTTGAGCAGAGTCTGGTGATTTTATATGCTCTCAAGTACATGCATAGATTCTCATCAATGGATGGTAGTCAAAATACATTTGTCACGTATTTAATCCATCGGATGTATGCGGACACTTTGGTATGAACTCCCGGGAATTTGGGTAGGCCGCATCCGTGTCCGAACGAAATGATACCCATCACTCTCCACTGCCCATTTAGTTGACAAACCAGTGGCCCACCGGAATCGAACTAGATAAAAGTAACAAGAGTAATGGCAAAGTAAGTGAATACCTTCGGGACTCGGGACGAAATTAAATGCTACATATCCTATGACAAAGTAATCAAAATTAAAAGATGTGCTTTATCTGTAATGAAGGAGAAACACTTGTATCTCCAGCTACATGCATTACTAAATTACGTTACTAGAAGTTGCGTCATGAAAGTGTACAAGTTTGTGGTAACAACCGCCATTCTTTCATCCCGACGCAGCTTGCAAGCACCGAATGCATTACTGTCAATTTCTGCGAATGCGGCCCACCGATGGAGCAAACCCGGATATCAGGAGTGCGATAACTTGTTCTTATGTATATCAGTGAGAATGCTGATCTACTCAGTTGCCGTATCGCCGCGGCAGTGGTGGTGTGCGCCGAACGTCGAGCCGCGCTGAGAGAATCGTGCGTTCGTTGTCAATTTTGCTTAGATATGCGAATATTTCCTTTAATAACTGGCTACTTATTAGTAGTGTTTCAGCCATGGAATGCATGAATGGTTTAAAAGCTGGGGTCAGCGCATTCTAGTTTATCGCTCGAGGAACTGGACCAAACTTGTCAATGTACAAAGGTGGTCACGATACAGAGGTCTGGATCCACAAGGTTTACATGGTGAACATCCAAGAAAGGGAAAAAATATACGATTACCTTAAAGTGATGATCAGAATATAGAAGTGGCCAAATTCGGTCCCCCTGTACTAGTCAAAATCGCCAACAACCCCAATCAGAACATTACTACTTATGCATGAAATCGACGACCACGTTGTTTGGTGAAACGTGGAGACAAACCCAACTGTTTTTTGCTAGCCGGTTAACTGGAACACACCTGTTAAATGAAAACGCTGGGTCCGTGTGGGTTCTTGTCAATAACATTTACCATCCCCTTGACTGCATCCAATTCATTCAGTTAGACATTTATGGAATTCTAGAGTACTGTGGAACAACAAAGAATTATCATTTGGTGCAGCTGATTGCACTAACGGTTGTCATATCACAGGACAGCCGTTGCACTTGGCTGATCGTTTTGTCTACCCAAGTTGTCAGCTCAATAAATAGCCTATGTATGTATTGCTAAGACTAGTAAGTTGTAAAAGATACAGTTAACTGTGGGTGAGGAAACCTGTCCGCGTATCAATAAGATATTATGGGACAATTCGTTCAAATCCGCAGCTAGGTTTTTTCCGAGTTGGTCGAATTCATTTGGTGATCACCGACACATGCGAACTAAGCTCAAATTCGATGATACCACTGACTGGCTTCAAAGAATTGGACACTTTTCGACTACCATGGACCATATGCTCATCCTTAACCGCCTACACTGGCTAAACTATATACCACACTTTCTTGCTGATCAGTTATTCTTTGGTGGATGGATTAAACGTAAGGTATTTGACGGCAAAAAGAAATGGTTTGACCAACAGATACCGTAAAATAAACGCTTAAGCTGGGCAACCTTTCAAGTAACAGCCACGGTGATTGACAGCACAGATGACGGGACTTCTGGTTCAACAGCACCATATTCAAAAGTGCCTCAGCAGGAAAAGCAGCTGCTTTATACTTCCTTGATGTTGCAAAATCTTCTGAACTCATGAAAAACAGAAGTACTTACTTATTTCACTTAACTTTCTATCTATAGTGACAGCTGCCGGTCTAGCACTTTTGAAGGCGTATTTCGATGCCCGCAAATGGCCTTATCAAGTCTTGGTGACATTTCCTACCAATGGAATTTTCTCTCATTGCCCATATGAGTTATGTCGAAACATGATGGAAGCTTTGACGGGATTTTGCGAAAAAAGGACGAGGCTGCTTTACGCGACGAGGCAAACAGCAAGAATGCCGCAAATGAACGGATCAAATTCAATAGTTCAATAGTGTATGGTGGGATAAAAAGCAATAACTTTACAAGACCCACAGGATGGCAAATGAAAGAAAACAAAAGTTTCAGGTGTGACACAAAAATATCAGTAAGTTAGACACTGCAGTTTGTCATACCGTTATATAATGTGTATCACGTAAGTGCAAGTCCAATAGTCTTTCGAATGTCTCGATGTTTGGTGCGTTCACCACATGCGATGGCAGTGCGTTCCAGTGCGGACAGACACTAAGAGAGTAAAAAAACTTTCTACAATCTAAACGGGAATATTGAGTCACAAGTTTTAGTGCATGGCCTCTGATTGGACGTTCACCCATCTCTGACTCCAAGTCGGTTGGTTACCATTTTACTGCGCTAGTAAGTATATTTGACCGCATCAGCGGAAGAATTTCACGAATGCAGAAGCGTCGTTAGTTATGGAATCGACCTGGATGTTTTCATCAAGGTTTCTAAAGGCTAGTTATGTTGTCACTTTTGCTATGATTGCTCTGCTGAACATATCGTTTGCTTCTGAAAGATCGAGTTCTGTACCGTGTCCCGAATTACATTGATCTGAGACCGTTTGATGGATCAAGTTCTGTAACTACTCTGCGGATCTTCGACTCACTGTACGGATCAATGCGTCGGCTCAATAAATAGGTCTTAATTGCCCACACCTTTTCAAGCAGGTAGCGATTGCGGTTAGCAACGGGGGATTTGTTCGGGTCACTTGATCTGGGACAGTGATATTCTGGTTATCTCCATGACAGAGTAAATCATAATCTTACTGATTACTGCTGGTTAGTAAAATGTGATATACCTACCTGTGTCTTCGGTTAGGCTGAAAATGCAGCTTTGCAGTGAGGGACATATGACAGCTGTCGCCAATGCCACGCCGTCTTAACTTGATAGGCAAATGCTTGTAACCCAACAATGTTGTCAAAGTGTGGGTGCCTTGGTCGGTAGGATGGTTTATTGCTGTTAACTTCCTAGAAAGGTCCATCTTAGTCCATATAACTAGTGGCAACGTTCTTGCCATCGTTTGTAGGATAGTTCAGGGCCAGTTTAAAGTACACATCTAGTGATTTAGTTAAAAACAGGAAATACTAGTTGCACTTTGTGTGACTTCAGGAATGTTAATATGTTGGTATATTGCTTATTTGATCCAGCCCAGTTCTTCGCATTCCATACTTGTGGTATTAAATTTAATCGTTTTTTCAGAAGGGTGGTTACCACTATATATTTAAACATTCCTGGAGCAGACTTGTATTTGGAATACCCGCTTCACTTCGTTTCACTTTGCAGTAGATCTCGGTCATTCCGATCACAAAGTGGTGGTTTTTCGGTGTTGCTGCTCCGAACACTGGCACCCCATAACTGGTTTCGTCCTCGTTTGGACTCATCAGATAAAGATAGTCTGAGTTGGGGTAGAACTCAAGACCTAGTGGTCAAAGGCTGACACTTTGGCCACCATGCCTCTAAGATTGGTGAGCCACGATTGGCACAGCGGGAAGGAAAACAAAGTTGAAATTTTAATACCCACTGTGTGGTTGGATTTTGACAATCTCCATTGGGACCTCGGTTCACCTTGTAGTGGATCTCGGTCATTCCGATCACAAGGACCGTATCCGAAATGAAGGCGGTTCGATGTTGCTGTTGGGGGGACCAACATCGAAACATCTACTCATGAACCAGCTTGTTGTCGTGTACCAATCGGCAAGAATACTATGGGCATAGTCATAATACATGTTCAATGTGGATGACTGTTTGGGCACAGGTTGCAAAAGCATGACTTGAGAGTGGCGTCAAATCGAGCAAACTAACAGATTAAGTGAACTATTTTCCTGTCCCAAGCTCGCTTCCAGAATGGTTACCACTAACTAGGTCTGTGCTAAACGTCTGCGAATCCACCAAGGCTAACTCACCACTATCTGCCACCCTTCGCATATGAAAACGATTCGGCTTGAAATCACCCCCCTTAACTATCTTGCGGAGAACTGGTAGATCGTTTCTGCTCCCAACACAAGTCCTGGTCAGTGCAAAATTTGTAGCCGATGGAATTAAAGTTGTTAATGCTACCTGCATCATTGAGGTGCGTTAAACGCAATTGCCTTCATGTTTATAAACGTGATGACAGAAGTTTACCATACGAATTAAAATAAGAGGAATTAGTTAATAAAATAGCAGAGAAATAGTTTCGATGGCATGGATTATTAAGGAGCATACCAGTGTGACCGGACTTGACGTTCCCATAAGTTGCCAATTGGGCAATGCTATACGATATAGTTAAGTGATAAAGTGGCTTACTTCGGGGTTCCCATTCAAAACTATGGCAAAATCTAGCCAAATTGGGAGTTTTGTTTGGCTTTGTAGTTGGTAAGCAAGACAGACCTTCGTGGCATCGACTAGTATTGAGCGAAGTCGACAGTTAGTACAAGTCTCGTGGTATTGACCACGCGAAGTGACTAGACTGACTGTGACCGATACCTGTTTCGTGCATGTATTGATCAGTGTTACAAATGAAACATCAATTATCTCACCTGGCAAGAATCTTTTCCACCTTGAGAATGACCAGCACAGATCATAGTGTCCTCAATAGCAACGGGTAGTTCTTCTGGTGATTGCCGTAACGTTGCGTAATTAATAATGCATTCTCCTTTTGGTACAACGGAAACCGGAACGTGCTTTAATATTGTTGAGATGTTAGTCGCGTCTGCAAATGAAGGAAGAGACACGGAACTATGGATTTTGAAGGGAGCTTATACGCACGTCTAGCGAACGACCACTAGCAATCGGATTTTGGATGTATTTTAAATTTGCGCTACAGAAAATGATTGCGAAGCGCATTGCTCCGTGAAGCTTGCACAGAGTTCACCTGAGTTCACCTCAGCAATCCTATGCTCATGACGCAACAGAAACCACGGAAAATGGCGGAGCACTCCTCACTGAAATCGCCTTCATACGTCAACGTAAACTGCTCTCCTCAGACCCCCACTTTATTTATTGTAGCAGGCCGCAATGAACCATCCGAGTTCCCCTCAGGACAGTGTGATAACTACCGCATCAAGCCACACTGAGTTTTCCTCTGAGTACTATCAGTACGTGGCAACACATGAGTATTGTAAACATCTATTTTCTCATACACTAAAAGCATTACGTTGTTGTACTATCCACTCATATACATGAAGATACAGAAGGCATGATTTCACTCTAGATGAGCCGAAAACTAAATCTTGTTATCGGCCAGTTCATATTTTCAGGGTCCGGTGCACTCTCATCCTGCGTATACAACATCTGGCGGCTAGTCCGTTTAAGTAGTGTGAATCCGAATTCATTTGGCTATTCTGTGTGTGGAGTACTATCGGTAAAGAGTGTTGGTCCGTTCCGACTACAAGTCGAAGCACCTAGAAAGCATTTCAATATTTATGTCCATGAAACAGTTCGTCATCAAAGTAGCAGTCCTTTGTTTCACGCTGATCTGCATGCTGGCCCAAGAGTTGGTTAAAAGATTAGTGCTAGTTCCATCAAAGACACATCAGAAGTTGAGAGATCCTTCTGATGCACCTCGACCCAATGAGGGAAGGTAAGGACTAGAAACAGGCAGTTATGAATGTAGATCCCCGCTTTTATTTATAGAAACTTCGACGTAAAATTGTAGGTATGTACAAATTATTATTGCAGTGTTTTCCCAAACTTGTAGCCTAGAGGACTAGGGCCAGTAATGCAGTAGGTGTCTTGAATGCAGTTTTCAGTTTCAAAGTCTTCCATAGCTCATTATATAATTACTAACTAAACAGGATATAGAGCGTTACTCCAACCATTTTATGTAGGACCCTGTAGCGACTCATCGTTAGTATGTTATAGGGACTTTAGTCGCAATCCATTCGGAAGGAGAAACCATCCTGCGGTACTACGGCTGCACATCAACGTTCACCAAATTCGTGTACTATTTAATATGGTTTACACTATTTATTCAACAATGTATCACTAAATGAGGTAAAGTAAGCTTAACTACTCCACATGTAAAAGATACAGAAGTTACCTAATACGACGATTTCTACGTTATCTTGCCAATAATGCATAATATGCACACAGCCTAATAATGAAAGCAAACCTTAGTTCATTAAAAGCTTACCAATGAGGCTTGTTTGAAGGTTGGCAATGCACAAAAAACAAGTACAGGGTGCGCTGTCTAAAAAGGTAGATATGTTGGTTTAGTACTCAGATGTAAAGCTAATTTTTTCTATCTATAGCGAAAGTCAAACAACAACTCTTATGGTCTAGCCAAGGGAGCTAGTTTTCCAGTCGGTCCGAAATTACTAGACTCAGCCAGACAGCTTACACCGAATCAGAAAAATGTTTGTTGGCCATCCGTCGTACTGAGACTCGTTATTAGCGCGCACTGGTCGAATGTATGTTGTCGTTCTAACACGGTCTGGCTGCAGCGATCCTACATAATAAGTGTCACTTCTGTCAGTAATCCGGTTGCATCGTCAACCTATATAATCTACAAATGCTAAATAACGTTGCTGTATTGATAGCGAACTGAGTTTGACAGAAAAAGAGAGGACTGAAATAGGTAGATCAATTTAGTCCTCATGAAAGCATATGGCTGCTTTGCAGGATGACAGTATTAAGTAGTATCTTCAAATATAGACAGTCATATCTATGAATTATAGAGTTTAAATTCAGCTTGAAAGGTAATTGCTTAACGACAGTCTGTCGAAATCTTCATCTTGCTCAGTTTAATCCTTAATCAAAATTGCTATTGGCGGTTTCAGTATAATTTATCCCAAAGTTCATCAGTTGCTGATGAAAGCCTGACCAGCGAATTGCCCATCGTTTCACTGGGTTGTAGTGAGCATAATGGATATCCTTTCACATTTCCATCTTTTTCGCGCACCGCACTCCATAACATCTCAGTAGGGCTTCATTTACTCATCAAATGGGTAGCTAACAATTATTCTAAGTATGCTCTGTCAGTACACGGACGAATAGCTCAGGTAGATTATGCCAGTTATCCACCACACGGGTGGACAGCTGAGATTGAAACGAATTCGAAAACTCGTTTAAATAAACAGCTTCCAACAGTGATGCCGTGTCGAACAATGTGTACAAATTTGAAAGAGATCCTCTAACTCATCACCCATTTCAGCTTGTAAAACACACCAGGAGCAAATCAGGTCACTACGATGACGATAATATTCCAGGGAAAAGAGGTTGATCCTTCGAAGTCTACGAGAACAGGGCACGTTCCGGACTGCACAGACAGATTTCGATCCTCGCCGCTAGACCCTATTTATCAAGACGCATTCGGCTTTTGTAAGAGGATGGGACACTGGCAATCCCTACACAATAATCGGACTCACATGACAGTTGAAGAGCGTTATGATGATTTCATTGGTAATTTTCGCAAAACGGTCTCCCTATAACAAAGTTCACCCTATTAACAGGTACAAATTCCTTCAAAGTGTCCCTGGTTGTAAATTTAGAAAATCAAGCGTTTCATGACCCTTCTCACTGGTCAGCTTGCTGAACAGGAAGTCTCCAATGCCATAAGCAGTAAATGGAACAGAGGCACCGGTTTGGACAGCGAAACACTTCCTGGCTGCTAGGCAGCCGCCACAATGTTGACCAGGAGTGCAACCGGCCTAGAGTTGCTTATAACCGCTTAGCGTTTTCGATCCTTCACACGCTCAAACATACAGGTCGATTCTCAGCATATACTAGGCATTCAGTTTCGAATTCTGACGAAAAAGCAATGCTGAATAATTTAAAGAGCTCAGGACCAAGGAGAGTGTCACGTGGGACCAAACTGATCCTGAAAACAAGCGTGGAGCAGGTATAATTCGCCCTTACAGCCATCCAGGAAGTCAGAGATTAAGGAGTGAATTATCCCATAAAGACTCAAATTTTCCAAGTTTGGGAAGGAGGGCTCCGTGTGGGAGTCTGACAAACGCTTAATTGAAGAAATCAAAAAGACTTTAAAGCAATTGTATAAGAGGATCTTTAGCTTCTCCAAATGAGTATTCATAGCTTGTTTCGGAATAATTTCCATAAATTTACGAACTATCGGTGTTAGGTAGATCGGCCAATAGTTTGTGGGGTCCTGTTTACATCCTCCATTGAATATGGCCTTCTCAGTACCAAATTTCCACGAATTCATGGGAAGTCATGCATATAAATAGCGCCGAAAACTTGGCAGACAGGAGCCGAAATGGGCTAGGCCACAAAGAGTACAAATTATTAGACTAAGTGAAGAGAACGAATTTACTTCGTAGCAAAGTCTTTGCTCATTCCTATGGGTTATAGTGTAGTTAGATGTGTTGACAGCCTCAATGGCCAATGCAGCTTCGGTGTAAATCAGATGACAAGAAGACTTCCAAACCTTTGCGTAGTTCGAGGAGTCCAGGCCCGATTGGGTAGAAGTAAAGATCTCACATCATATGCGCCGTGTGTTCAGTAAGATAATTAATGATAAATCCATGAATGGTCTCTGGAAAATCTTTTCCCACTAGAGCTTGGGACGAACTGACAGATGGTGATATCACTTTGAGTATGAAATACTTTAGGCCTCATCAGGGTTCAGCTGCTGCGGAATGCTTCAGTTCAGCTTACTTGCAGCTACTCTCAAACAGTGTGGGTCTAGAAGCCAGGTGTTATAACGGTAGTCACTTGGGTCATTAATGGTGGGTCGTAGTTCCCACACGAAGGAAAATACGCAATTTTGCCAGTCGATTCGAGTGGAGTCCAATAGGAGACATCTGCGTGTTACGGTGAGGGTAAACATTCCAAAATGTGTGGCGACTGACCTGGATTGCCGTTGCGACAGGCCGAAGCAGATGACCAGCAAGAACAGTTTCGAGAGAAAGATCGTCAAAGCGATCCGGAGAGAGACTACAATGAATCAAACCACAATTGCTGGCAGCAGCATTACAGTTTCCCATTACCAGATAGGTTGTGCCTTTGCAATTCGTTTTCATCGAGTCCAGCAAGCAAGCCCCATGAAACATAAAGGATCCGCAGACGACACTGACTATGAAATGCCGGCAACTGTCATGAACCATACCCCGCAGAATCTTGGAACAAAAATGTTTGTCACTGCTTGCTTTAAATGGATACACGTTGAGTTCCTCCCTCCAGTAAAGAATCACGCCAACTCCAGACCACACCCCAAAGCGATCGGTCTGAAGGAACTGACATCCCGGAACGTAGACCACTGAGGCTTGGATGTCTGATGATAACCAGGTATCAACTCGATTGGTTCTTCGAGAGCATGAATTGAATTTCGTCTAGCAAGCTTCTTACGGTACGCACATGAGCAGATTTCACTCGTAGCATATTCTTCAGTACTGATGCCTGTGTTTACCGAAGTTGGCTTCAACCAAACGCCGTACCCTCTGTACCACCAAAAATCCACAAGGTGAAGATCGACCTCATCTTTTTGAAATGATTCTTAGCAATTAGACTCAACCAATTTTCTACCACACATCCAGGATTGCGCTAGATGGCGGTTTCATCATAATGGGACTAGTCAGGAGCGCACACCCGATATTCGACTATACTATTTTCTCGGCATTTGCGTAGTTCATCGATGCCAGGCAAGAAGTCGACGTCCTATACTTGGACTACTCTAATGCATTAGATCTCTTGGATCACCGCATTCTTTTTCACAAAGTTCGAAGCTATAGAATCTACGACATTGTGCCAGGT